ATATATAGGGATATGTAGGGATATTTAGGGTTTAGGGTTTGGGGGTCCATGTACCCAATACCTGGGTACTTAGGGCTTTGGTAATAGTAATTATAGAGCAGGTTTTGGGTAAGTATATGATTATTAGGTACTTGGACCCTTAGGGTTATTTACCCCCAAATCCTATATGCCCCTTTCCTGTGATTCCAGCAAAAAGCCGGGTATGTCAAAAACAAACAGGGTATTCTTATTTTGTTCTTATTTTTAATCCCGTAACAAAAACCGTAAAAAGACTCATGGAAAATCACCGTGGAAATCCGTAAGCAAAACACGACCTGCGTTTTTCTAGCCTCCCCGGACTTCTCCGGATTTCAGATTATCCGTAAAAAAAAGGCATGTTTTGGTTGTACAGGTGCCTAAGCCTTACAAACCTGAATCCCTGAGTCCTAAGGGTCCAAGTCCCTAATAATCATGCATATATCTCCCCAAAACCTGTACTAGAACTACTATTACCAAAGCCCTAGGTACCCAATTATTGGGTACATGGATCCTTAGGGTAGACCCGCTTTACGAAGCCAGGTGGTACGAAAGGTGATGAAGCAGATCAACTTCGCTCTGAGCTTCGGATCTCGCAAGTTGTACGGCCGTCCTATTCAAGACGCCACTGGACCACTGATGAACATGGGTTTTGGGTTTTGAGTTTAAGGTTAGCGTTTGGAGTTTGAGGTTTTGGGTTCAGACTTTGAGGTTTAGAGTTTGGGGTACAGAGTTTGTGGTATCCTAAGCTCTCTTGTCCGTAAAGCTGAAACAGGCGAGTCTTGCCTCTTGACTGGAAACCTTTCCCTTTGACCTGAAGCGCTGGATCAAGTCTGCTCAACGCCAAACCTTACAATTCTAGACACAAGGGTTGTAAGGTTCCCCTTCCTGAGCCAAGCCAGGTTCACCTTTCAGACAGTTTCAAAGCTGCAACGGGGAGACCTAAAAAGACGGGACCCAATATCAACCCCAAAAGACAATAAACTTCAGGCAGCTGTTGAAATCCCTGAACCTGCATATCCCTATAAACCTTATCTGAACCGTAGAATACACGCTCCCCAAAAGGGAAACGATAGGCTGAAACCCCTAAACCCAAAACCCTAAACCCTAAACCCTAAACCCAAAGGCGCGGGGCTTCTTCGAGGCTCTCGACCGGCACGGCAATGGTGTCCTGGACCGCAAGGACACCTTCACCCATGGGCTTGAGGGTTCAATGTAGGGTTCATGGGGTTTAGGGTTTAGGGTTGCAGGGCTTAGGGTGCAGGTAAGGGTTTTGGGCTCAGGGTTTTGGGTTGTGAGAGCCCTCAGAGTCATAGACACTGGGGGTTTTGATGTTATTGTTGGCACAAGCGGATGAATTGGGGTCTAAACTTCCACTACTTGAGCTCTTGAACCCGTAGGTAAAGTTGCAAGGGAAGCCTGGCGCGTGGTCCAATGCAATGTTCTCAATAGAGGGCGCCATCAGGGAGCTTGAGGCCATATAGGGACTATAACCATAAGGGTCCATGGACCCAAATGCTGAAGTAGATAGAATATGGGTATATGGGGATCTTATTATAATATACCCAAAGCCATATTCCATCTACATAAGGGGGACTATATATCGGGGCCCCCTATAAGGGAAACTACTAGACAGTGGGAATATCAAGCCTAATCCAAACCAATACTGCCCACTCCCTCCGTTTGCTTACCAATCCCTAGGCGGGCATGGGGGGAATGTAGGGTCCGTTATTGCGGCTGACTAGAAAACATTGCAGTGATTGACTCCACTGCTTCCCCTAAGTAACCCAAAGGGTCCACGTAGCTATATGGTATATACGTACGGCCCAAAAGGGTTCCCATATACTTACTTTAAGGCCCAAGTATATACCATCTGGCTATATGGACCCTTTGGGTAAGCAGAAGTAAAGTTTGTAGGTTTAGCCTCGGTACTTAGCGTAACCTGAAAGTCAACTTCCGGTGAAGGACATCGCGCAGGGCTTCAAGCGGCTGGACATTGTATTGCCTCGAACTACGCTCGAGATGCTGGTGGGCTTAGGGTTTAGGGTTTAGGGTTACCCTGAGGGTTCAAATACCTAAATAGAATGCGATTAGGGCCCAAAGTACCGACATAGGAACCCATTTGGGCCCAACTGATCTGCTATTTGAGTGCTTGGACTCTCTATAGACTTGAGCAAAACCCAAGTGTTCTTCAAACTCCTGCGCAGGTTTCAGTTTGGATTATCGCAAGCGCTACTTCAAGCTTCGATCATATAGCACCCAGTGCAAGTTGCAACAAGGGTCGTGGCAAGTTCGCATGAACAGGAATTACACCCTAAACAAGGCGACCCCAACATAGACCCCAAAATACGATCAACCTTACTATACGGGCCCCCACAAGGGTACCCCTAATTTTGGGAAACCCTAAACCCCATACCCTAAACGCGGAGCAGAATTCCTCATCTGGTGACGTGGGCAAGAGTGTAAAATCAAAGGGAAGGATTGCCTAAGAAGGGTCCAAGGACCCACATAGTAGGGCTTTGGGGCCCAAATACCGTTGATATCATAGTATTTGGTCCCTAAAACCCTATGATTTGGGCCCTCAGACTCTTAGGGCAACCCCTCCCATCTGAAAACCCCTTGTCAAAGTTTATATTTAAAGCGAAAACAGGCTGGCTTAGAAGTCCTTCCGTCAAAGTCTGCGATGGTGTTCGCAAATTGAACATAAGATTTTGTGAAAGAAGTATCGTAAGCTAGATAGTTCCTTACATGCGGTGGGTAAGGGTTATTTGAAGTTCAAGCCTTGGTTTCTTCTTCGAACATGCTTCCACGAAAGTTCGCGATGGTGTTTGCGAAAGGAACTTCGGATTCTCGTGAAGAGATCATTCTCTCATGAGAGAAGTTTCAATGGTCCGCATACGGTAGCTAGCAGCTAGCCCTAACCCTAAGGGTCCAAGTGCCTAATAATCACTTGCAACCTGGGTCCAGGCTTTAATGTAGACCCATTAGGGTTTAGGGTTTAGGGTTCCAGGCTTTAATCTAGACCCATAATTAGTACACCTCCTCCCCTAAATAGAGATTATAATAGGGACCCCAATATTGAGGCCAGTAAGAGGAGGCTAATATGAGAAGCCCGATTATAATCCCTATTTTGGGGACGGGTTTTATGAATTATGGGCTTACATTAGGGTTTACCTCCTACATCCCAACGTGCAACCGGCCGGCCGGACCCCATGAACTGAAAAACCTCAGAATCTGCAGGTCCAGATGGTCGACCAGGATGCGAACGGTCTGATGTCAGTGGATGAGCTGCTGCAGGCAGATGGGGGTTTCCCAAGATTAGGTGTAACTGTTTTGGAGTGCCTATAGTATTTTGGGGGTCCCAGTATTTTGGGAAGGTACCAAATTTCCGTACGGCTCAGGTATACTGTTTCGGTTCCAGGCTTCGTCGTTGCTAAGCTGGCATGAAATCTTTTCACAGAATCAGCGGTCTGTAGAGGCCCTGCTTTCTGGTTCCGCGCTACTCTAGACTTTAGACTTGCTTGGCATGCGCCACAAGCCCATGTGTGCCGAGTACCCAATAAGCTGGTTTCAGCTATCAAAAACCATTTGGACTTTCTTTTGCGTGGGACCTCAAGCCCCATGATATGGTTGTTTGAACCAGTCGGGTTTGGATTCAACCAGTACCGAAGAGAATGTGGTCGTCTCAGGGCATAAGGTCTTAAAGCTTAGGGACCCTACCTGAGGTTCACGAGACTTGCAACTGCATGTCCTTGGCTTTGCATGCAGGCCTGCGTATCCTGCCTTTGACTGCGGCCTTACCTAAACTTCTAGTGCTCTACCCCTTGTTGGGGTACCTAACTTTGCATACAGGCATCCTTACAGGGAGTAGGGTATAGGGGTCTAGGTGTATCACCTGTCCAAATGACATGCAGGGCCATGGCGCTGGGCATAAGTAGTTACTGTGAGTACTACTGCAAGTTTTCGTGAAGGTTCGATTCAACCAGCCTAAAAATCTAACCCCTAAAGCCACAAACTCTAAACCCTAATTGCCATCCTAAACTTGTAAGCCGATAAATCCCCAAGCCGTAAGCCCCAACCTCAAAAACTCCGACCCGAAACCCTGACACTATCTTACCTCATGAGGTGCACACCTGTCCAGTAAGTAACCTTCGGCCTTTTGGGGGTGGTAAGCAAAACTGCGCACAGACCAAAGGATTCAACCCTGAACCCCCCCAATCACCACCACCCCCAACCTCAAAACCAAAAAACCCTAAAAACTTGAGCAAATGTCGGAGTTAAGCAAAAAAAAACATATAATCGCTATATAACCCCTAGTAGTTTCCATTTTCTTTTCCATAATCCCTATATAACCCCATATAACCCCAATATAGAAACATCTAAAACTCGCGACACCTAAATGGTAGTTTCCCAAAATTAGGGGACCCTAATATAGACCCCAAAATACTACAATCCTTGTTATAGGAACCCCCAAAACAGTACCCCTAATTTTAAGAAACCCCCAAATGAGGCAATGGAGCGCAGTGAGCCCTTCACCAGCAAGGCCAGCGAAGCCGGCAATTCCGCACCGAACTCTGCTCGCAAGCGCCCGTGAAAAGGTACTTCCTGGGCCCCAAGAGTATGTAAAATAATGGCCCTGAGGGCTGTTATAATGGGTTTAGGGCTGTTATTTTACATACTTTTGGGGTTTAGGTTCGGGTTTAGGGTTAGGGTACTTCGGGTTTAGGGTTAGGTTTAGCGTTTAGGGTTTAGCGTGTAAGTAAGGCTTGAGGTTTAGGGTCGGGTTTAGGGCCTAAGGTTTAGAGTTTTACGTTTAGGGCTTCATTTTTAGGGCGAAAGGTTTGCGATGTAACGGTTGGATTTAGGGTTTAGATCTGCAATCCAAATTATTACCTACAGTATTGTGAGTTATGCCTACGACTTCAGGAGTAATTACTACTACGCTATAGGTAATTGGGTAACTTGGGTTACAGGTAGTTTTGGTTTGGAGGCCTATAAGGGCTCAGGGTCTTAATAAGGCTATATAGGGTCTAGGGCTTTTGGGGTTTAAGGTTAAGGGTCTACGGCTTGGCGTTTAGGGTTTCAGGTTTAGAGCTTAGTGTTAAGGACCCTGTGCCTGGGTAGCATGAGGTCGGAATAGTCCCCCCATGGGCATCATTCTGTGATTGCCTTGAGAAGCTATGATTCAGTTTGGAAGTCGGATATTTTTGGCTTAGACGTTCTTCATGAACTCTTGGCTTGCTAGCAAAAAGAAAGCTTATCCGCGACGTAGCTCGTGGTCGCTGCGCATGGTGCATTCTTGAAGCGTGGGCTTCACTTCCAATTCCTGTAGTATACGCTGTTTTGTCATCAAGGATGGCTGAGCTGTATGGGTTTCCCAAAATAGGGGTTTAGGGTTTAGGGTTTAGGGTTTAGGGCCGCATTCCACATCCGGTCCAGAAGCCAGGGTCCATCTTGACATCGTGGCCGAGGGGATTGTGTCCCCCCTTACAGGACTGGCCATGTTCCATTTATGCAAAGCATGGCATACCCGTGGCTTTGAAGACAGCTGCTGGAATCTTGAAATCCGCGTAAACCTGCTATCTTGAGCCTGGATTCTGTTTGCAATTACGAACTGCCAGAAACCAACTAGTCGGCTTACACTTGCATGCCAGCAATGCTTCATCAGCCACGCTGTTGCTCATGAACTGCACTCTACGCAGGAGTCTGAGCACTTGGTGATACAGCTGGGCTTGCCTGAGCTGTAAATTCATGAGGCCAACACAAAAGGATGGATTTCGTTTTGTGGCTTAGAGAGACAGAGGAGCATCCGAAGCATGGCGCTATGTTAAAGGTGTTTTCGCCATGTTTGGGGAGAAGGACTTCAGTTGCCATGACAGTTTCGAGGAATCTGGGTGGCTTTGAAGGAACTGAAGTTGAGCCACGATAATACGGGCAGATCGTAAGTAAGAGGGTTTCCTTATTATAGTAACAATTGTAGTTTCTTGACAGCAACCCAGGAAAAGACGGCAGGACTAAGTATACAGACTCCTGAATTAATTCATCAAGGCTGCTTCTGGCTAGATAGCCTTCCTCAATTCGCCTGCTAATTCAGAAGACCTGTACAGGGCAGCAGCGTCCCCAAAAAGAGCTATTTCAATGCCTATGTGAGCTACAGTCTAAACTCCTAGGATCCACCTTCATAACCCCTATAATACTCCTCTACATAATCAATCCCCTACACAGCCCCCTTTTAGGACTTTAGACTATAGCTCATGTACTTCCAGGTGTTGGAAGATGGCACAGGTTGACGTCTTCTGCCATCTTTGGCCACGCTACCACTTCAATCCTGACCCCTAGGGATCCAAGTATACAAATAATACCTAAATTGGGCC